TTACTTTTCACTTGCTGGCCAGCGTTTGATAAGGTCCTAAGAGTGAATAAGGGGAAAAATCCTGGAGCCAGTGTTGTGAATTACTGGAGCTGTCCAAACTCAACGGAGATTACCACACTAAGGGGCTGTACAGAATGGCCACAAGGGCTGGCCTGGGGGTGCAGTCAGGGCATGGTGACTGCACACCAGCCGCCCTGACTTCACCCCCATGTTGTCCTCATGCCACCCACACAAACAAACAGAAGGTGTTATCAGGGCTCTCCCTTGATGCAGCATTCATACATGCTGCACCAAAGGAGCTCTGAAAGGCTGCCACCATGGCAGCAAGAGTGGCTTTTTGCTGCTCTAAAAAGGAGCAGCATTTGCCAGCTCTTTTTAGAGCAGCAAAGTGCTGGATTGGGGCCATGGTGTGTGGTTGCCACAGCCCCAATCTGACACTCCCAGGGACAGCACAGAGCCACTCCTTAGGGGCCATCTGTTGAGCCCCTAACATTTAACTCGACTGCACCCTAACGGGGTGCAGCCAGTAGGCGGGATACAGGCGAGAATTATCACGCACAATTCACTGCCAATTCCGCCAGCGGAGTGCAGCCCTCCAAAAAAAAAAAAAATGTATCCACAAAAGAAAATATAAAAAAAAATTAACTCCATTTTAGCTCAGTTGTAGCTCCCCTTACAACCACATCTATCCATCTACCTGTATGTACTCTGTGTGTGTGTGTGCCTTAACATTACATCCATTGTGTTTTTCACAGAATCCTATGCACAGCATCTTCATGGAAGTATGGACACATGGTGACATCTTCTCTCTAGAACTCTCCGCTGAGGAGACCACTTAGCTAATTCCATTACAGTTTTCAGAAGATAAGCAGCTTCCATTTTAGAAGTACCTTTGGGTTGTGATTGAGTACTTGAAATACTCTGATAGCACTCTGACTAAACTGTAAACCTCCTGTGAATAGGTCAGAAGTGACAGTGAGGTGGCTTTCATTGGTCTACTGTGATTGGTTCCTTTCATTAAACAACAGCTCCATTGTAGTGCTTGGAACAGGAGTAAAATCACTTAAACCCAAGTACCATAGAACTGAACTGTTTTGTCTAGTATGTTATTCTGAACCATCCTTACAATTTGTTTTTAAACAAGGGCTGGGGAATTTACAGCCTGAGGGCCTAATCTGAATTTCCAAGTTTTAGAATCCAGTCTACTGGAAGCTCCCCATTGTTTCACTCCCCCACTGACTGAGAAGAGATTAGAGATAGCAGTGGAGATTCATTCCCCTACACTAAAGGCAATCAGATCTTGGATCAGAGGAAATGAGGATTCTTTGTTGTATTGGAGGACAGTGATTGCTGGTGCTGGTTGAGTTTCAGTTCAGGAGATCATTCCCCCTTCTCTTTCTCCTTCTCCACATGGAGAAAAAATATGGTAAAGTAAGCCTATGTTTTCTTAACCTGTGCTCCCAGGAATCTCCCAGGATGAGAACTGTTTCCTGACTTGATTGGAGGTCAAGTAAGTGAAGCCTGTTTCACTGTAAAATGTAGGGTGAAAAAAAATCTTGGTGGGGAATTCTACAATGCCAGGAGATGTGACATCATGCTCCTAATACCATCTGGCCTGTACAGTGTTGCCAAATTCTTGTTTTTGGTTCCCAGGAAGGAGACCAGCATACAAATTATGCAGTTTTGGTTAGCTCTTGAGTGCTGGAATCCATTTTTTAAACAAGAAATAAATAATGGTAAATATCCTGTCCTTCACCAGCTTGAACTACCAAAATGAAGCAGAAAAAATGCCAGCAGTGATTTTGCTCCCCCATCAAATAGCTTTATAAATGTTTGATAGCACCATTTATTATCCATCTCACTAAACCTCATTTTCATGTTTTTCCATTCTCTCCCCTTTGTACTATCATCTCTGTGCTCTGTCCCTTTCTTTATCTTAGTTATTCCCACATGGAACCCCACAGAAGTCACAGGGATAAGAGCTTCAAAATTCAATTTCCTGGGATCGATGAGGAATCTGTGTTTCATGTAGAACACAGGAGGACTACTTGGATACAAAGAAGACCACCTTGTTTCCAACACTGCCCTTACTTCTAGTTGGTTTAAACTCTTTTATTCTTGGTATTAACTAAACTATCATACTTGTTAAGAAAAATAATGAAAGATTACTGCAGTCATTTACACTTATTAAAGAACCAGCTGGAAAAGTTAAAATTTGATGGTTTCTAATAGAATTAATTAAATTAAAGTCCATTTTAAGTCAATCAAGCTTAAAAATGCTTCCTCTTTTTTGTTTGAAAATGTTTAACTTAACTGATAAATTAATTGATTTTAATTAGTTACTACTTATCCACTGTATTCAAACTTTTGTATAGAACAGGGGTTGGCAACCTACGGCCCAGGGGCTGAGTGCGGCCCCCCGAGGCCTCTGAACAAAATGGCGGCCATGACTCATTTGCGCATGCGCTGAGTACTATGCATGTGCAAATGAGTTGCGGCCGCCATTTTGTTTGCCAAAATGGCGTCCGCAACTCGCTCGCACATGCGCAGTACTCCTGGAGTACTGCGCATGCACACATGCGAGAGTGTGCGCGCTGCCATTCCCCCCCCCCCCCCCCCGGCCTGGTGGAAGACGTGGGGACCAGCGACTGGCCCCAGGTCTGAAAATCTTGCCGACCCCTGGTATAGAACATGGTTGGGAAGGTGTGGTCTTGCAGATGCTCATGGGCTAGTTCTCTTTTGGCCTAATCAGTAAGTCCAGATGAGAAGAAGGATTGGGTTTGAAGTCCAACAACTGAAAAGCCACAAGTTGTCTTATCCCCAATATAGGGAGATTATCGCACAAGCATGAAAGCATGACTTACCTCTCCCGAATTCAAGTAAAATTCGGGCTGCGTCTGGGTCCCATCGTATGGCTTTTTTCACCAAATCTGACATCCAAATGCAGCCTGAGTGCAGCCTAGGTCACTTAACATGCTTCGCGGCCATTTTTCAAAAGTTGGAAGCTTCCGACTTTTGAAAAATGTCCATGACGTGAATAAAGTGAGCTGGGCTGTACTCAGGCTGCATTCAGATGGTGGATTTGCTGACAAAAACCATGCAATTGGACCTGCATGCAGCCAGGATTTTATTTGAATTCAGGAGAGGCATGTTGCATTTTTATTCTTGTGCTATAATCTCCTAAAGCACATATATCTAACTTGATTCTTATACAGCCTCCTAGCATAGCACAGCATCAGGCTTTTATACTAGGTAACTATAGATCAGGAGTAGGCAACCTAAGGCCCAGGGGCCAGATGTGGCCCCCTAAGGTCTTTGGACCAGCCCCAGGCCACCCCCCCACTGCCCCTCACCGCCGCCGCCCGCCATGATAATATTGATTATTGTTGTTATTACTTGTTCTTGGGGTTTTCTTGGCAAAATCTCCACAGGGGTTTTGCCATGGCTTTTCTGGGGCTGAGAGAGTGTGCATGCATATTTTTTTATTTTTTATTTTTAAAAAAGTATTATTTATTTATTTATTTATTTTTGGTGCTTTGGCCCCCCCAATTGTCTGAGGGACAGCAACCCGGCCCCTGCCTCAAAAAGGTTGCCTAC